CATTTATGTATTGAGGAGCGAGCCCTTATTTTATAAAAGGGACTCCCTCACCTTCATTAGAGAGTATCGTCGCCAGCTGAGCAACCGCCTCGCCGTGAGCACCAACTCTAACCCATAATTTTTGTAATGAGGAGCGAGCCCTTATTCTATAAAAAGGACTCCCTCACCTTCAACGCCACAAGACAAGCCAATCAAGGCAACACAAGCAAAGCAGCCTCGCAACATGTGCTACTTCTAGTTGAGCATCATTTCAGATTAGGCACCGCCTCATATCGAGCATCAGTTCTAGACGGCATCTAGTTACTTCGGCCCACACATGGACTGAATTTCAAGTCTCTAGCCAAAAGACTCTCTTGACTGCAGACTTGGGGGACTACTGTTTGTACCGTACTTAGGGCTTCCGTATTTAGATCTCGTATAAATACATGAGGGACTTAAATGTAATTATGTAATAAAGGAATGAGCAAATATGTAATAAGTGAGGAGCCCTTATTCTATAAAAGGGCCCCTCACTCTCCTCATTAAGGGGGGCCAACTCTTAGGCCTGAAGCCCCCTCACCCTCTCATATCCCCTCTCACATTACAGAGGTTCTCTCCCTCACAATCCTCTCAGAGAAATACAATATCAGTGTGGACGTAGCCCAAACATTAGGGTAAACCACGATACATCTTGTGTTATTTACATTTCTTGCAGATTCACGGTCGGATTTACGTTGTTCCAAGACCTCCGGGTTTGTGCATCAACAGGATCTAAGCAAGATTTTAGAGGATTCTTAAGACTTTTGATGTGACTTGGCATGGGTGCATAAACCAAAGAGCTATTGAAGCCTAAACCCTAAAGTTTGCTATCTCTGACTGCTTTTTCTCACAACACCATTTAAGTCATGGCATTACTTTTAGGGATTTGATTTGCTTTTAGATTAATTGGTATGGCTCTCTTCAGCACGTGTACCATCGGGTATATTTGACATCTTTATTTCTTTTTAAATTAAACATAAATTAATATGATCTCTAAAAAATATTTTTCCTTTTTTAAATTACTATGAACCTCCCACCATCTAGATACTTTATGATCAACATATTACATTTACATTTTTTTTTATACAACCCCTTCTCTTGATATCTTTTTATATCTAATGGTTCAAACATCAACGAATGCAAAAAGAAAAAATAACAAACACACATTTGAAGATATATATTTTGATGTACATCCAAATGTACATCTCTCAAAGATGGTGTAATCTCTAGCACTAATGAAATGAAACCAAATCCTACAAGGAAGAGCCAAAAAAAAAAAAAAAAAAAAAGTAAACATCACAGTACAGTACAACATTTTATCACGTTTGGAAAAGATTAAATGTAAAAGGGTGGAGATTGTTAGACACCTTGCACTTTTTTTTGGCTATGAGAAATATAAATGGAGGAAAATAAGGCTAAATAGCCAAAATGGTCCCTGAGATTTGCATAACTCATCACTTTGGTCCCTAACATTTCAAATTGATAAAAGTGGTCCCTGAGATAGTCCACCATCCATCATTTTGGTCATTCCGTTAAAAACTGTTAGAAACCAATCAAATGTCACTGACACAATATATATTTTGCACAGTTTATTTCGAATGCGAAATTCAACAACAAATACTATAAAATATAAAAATACAAACACTTAAGTAAATTGCGTATAAAATCACAAATCACTGACTTGTTCTTGAAGATAGAGGCTTGCAAATGCAATCACCAAAGACAGAAATTCGCCCCTACACTCGTGCAGTAGTTCAACGGACGTCTATATTGCATGATACAACTATCTAATCCAAGTTCTTGCACTCGAACTTGGATTCTTGGTGAATTGGGTTGTGTGTTTCTCTGTTCTGTGTAAAATGAAAAGGAAGCGTTGGAAAATCTATGTTAAGTTTCTGATCTTATTGCCATATATATATAATGGCATAAATTGAATAAACATAACTGTTCATTCTTATCAGTTATAAAACTGACATAACTGTTCAATCAGTTTTATCCCTTCAGAAAAAACTGAATAAAAAAAAAACGTAACTTGTGTTTTCGTCCATCCGAGCCCTAAGGCCCAAGGCCCATCTTTGACATTTAATATATACACCCAAACCCTCCAAGTCTAAGGCCCAAGGTCCATGGCCTTGGCCCAATTCTTTTCAAACCATAAGTGTGAGGACACACT